CAACTCCTCCCATATCTCCCCATCACTTTTTTCTGATAACTTCATGTACTTGTTCTTCTTCTTTGATTTATTTTTTTATGGGGCTTTTGGCTACTTTAACATTTGCTCCTTTGAAGAAGTAACCCTAAAATCTTTTAAGGATTAGATAAAAGCTCCTAAATATGTTTGACATTTTTGGCCTTTGGAATAGAGTAGGTTGCTAAGAGGCCCAAGGACATTGTGAGTTTTAGCCAAGGAACTGGTTACTTTTCTTTGGGGTTTCTTTACCCTAACTGTCTAGCCAATTCCTACCTCCTATTCTTATCACACCATCCTCTGAAGAGGTTACCCAGATTACCAGTAGGGAATCGGGACGCAGACCACTCTGACTTCTTCCATGCTGAACAGGGATGCAGGGTGAGGCAATTGGAGTACCCCTTCAGTGGGTCTATCTAAAAGATTCCCAAATTGCATAACTCCTATCTCTAAGGGAAAAAGAAAGTCCTTGAATCATGAGTAGGAGATGTGAAGGAGAAGTAAAGGCAAGAGTAATTAGCATTACAAGTTCTAGACAGGGAACTAGAAAAAAGTCAGAACAGGGCAATTTTCAGATGTTCATATGAGAGTCCATTGGAATTTCTTGACAAAGGCTTCTAAAAGCATCCCTCTTGGGTTCCTCATTTTTCTTTTGTCTTCCAAGGCTGGACTCTAGAGTGATGGATTCAGGATTTGCTTTTAGGTATTTTGATAGCTGTTGGAGTGCTTACAATCAGTGTCATTTCCTTTTCAAAGGCTTCAATAGGGGAAGAAAACAAATTGATCCATCATTTTAGAACAATAGCAGGTTGACTCCCTTAGCTACAGGTGGACACTACAGTATTGCAGACCAAGATTTGAAGTCTTACATCTGAGCAGCACTTTCTGATTCAGAACAAAATCATCAGTGAGAAATAATTGTCTAAATAACTTTTTATATAGACTTAAGCCTAATGTCTGGGAAGTGATGTCTGGGAAGTATAATCCCTTGAACTCTTAAAGAAATATACTAATGACTTTACTCTTTGATTATACTTTCCTTTTGGGTGTTTAGACCATACAGTTGGCCCAAACAAATCAATTTATTTTTACACTTAAAGTCATTTGAGGATCTGTTCCTCAGGGGTCACATGGGCTTGGGAGGAGCTCCTGGCTCCTTTCTTTTACCAGTTCCATCTATGTGAAAATAAGTTAAAGGTCCTGATTGACCATGTCTGCCTTCTCTTGGAAGAATGAGTGAGATGTTTCCTCTGAGTTGACCCTCCTCTTTGTAGACTGGACACTGATTGAAGTCCATCTCGTGGAGTCTCCATGGCCTCCCTGAACAAGAAGACAGGTGACTCACCACAGTTACAGGACATTTTGAGAGATGTTTCATAGTCCCCTGGAACTTAGTCGACTTTGGAAGGCAAAAACTGCCCCTCTGACCACATTAGTATAGGCCTTAAAGTATGGCTGTTAAACATCCAATAAGGTTAGTTCCACCAGTCTGGTACTTTTACTTTTACTTATAGATAAGGCTTGGGTAAAAAAACAAATATTATCAGATAAACTTTGACTAGATACATATTTTATTCCTTAAACTAGTTGACTAAACTATGACCATAGACATTTTTTTCCTTTTAAGTTAATTTACTTTTTTTAATTTTTTGAAAAATGTTTTTAGAAGAAGCATTTCATTACAGCTTTAACATACTCAGTAACAGTTTCCAGAGCAAAGATACATCTCAGAGCAAGAGTACATCTCTTTCACAAGTGGGTGCAAGTTTCTAGGTTCACAGTTGAATTAATACAGATATACAATATTGAACTCAGTATAAACCCTGTAAGACATAAAATTGAATGAGTTTTTAACCTTTAAAAAAGATCTCCATTTCATTTTAAAATACACTGTTTCTCATAGAAAGATTCATTATTTTTGCTAATAACACTGAGATATTGGTGCATGCATCTCTAATCTGTATGTATCTGATTATTACTAGTCATGATCGGTTGCACTCAAATCCTTGGCGCTTGTGTATGTCTATAGTGTCATCGGGTAGATTTCAATGGTAATGCTTATCACCTCTACTAATTAACATGATGTAAATTTTTATGCTTCCTCCTCAAATAGAATTCATTTTTTAAATTTGTTGATATTTTGTGTGCGTGTATCTCACACAGAACATCCCAAACCATCTTATTCAACTATACACCCACTTCCCAGATGGCACCCTCCCCCAAATAGAGCCCTTATACTCTGTTATCCCTACTACTGCCTGCTGTGTTGTCCACACCCCCAGCCGCTCCCCACTACTTGTCCATCTGGTAAATCTAGTCAGTCCATCTGGTGAATTTAGTCAGCCTATCTAGAGGTCTTTGTTTTAGGAGTGTCAGCTGTTCCTCATCTAGCAGCAATCAGTTGTCAATATTCCTTTAAGTAAGATTGGGGTCTGCTGTTCATTTTCCAAGTTCTATGCTGGGTTACTCTCGGGGAGTCCCTTGGGCCATCCTGGCCAACAACTCAGAAGAAGGTATCTCCTATCTGGCATTGTTGCTTGTTATGTAGCCTTTAGCTATACATATGGACTCTTAAAAAAATTATGTTGGCCCCTTTAATCTTTGGTTATACTTTCCTTTGGGTGTTTAAGTCCATCCAGTTCGCCCAGATAAACCAATTTATTTTTACTCTTGAGGCTGTTTGAGGATCTGTTCCTCAGGGGTCACATAGGCTTGGGGGGAGCCCCAGCTCCTTTCTCTTACCAGTTTTGCCTGTGTAAAGATAAGTCAATGGCCCTGCTCGATCATGGCTGGCTTCACTTGGAAGCATGGAGGAAATGATTCCTCTGTGTTGTCCTTCTTCTTTGTAGACTGGACACTGGTGCAAGTCCATCTGGTGGGGTCTCCTTGGCCTCCTTGATCAAGAGGACAGGTGACCCACCACAATTACAGGCCATTTTGAGAGATGCTCATAGTCCCCTGGAACTAGTTGACCTGAGTGCAAGGAACAAAAACTGTCCTTTATGTCCCTCTGACCAAATTAGTATAGGCCTCAATGTATATCTGTTAAACATCCAAGAAGGTTAGTTCCATCAGCCTGGTACTTTTAATTACTGTGTGCCATGCAGATAAATCTTGGGCAAAGACCAATTGTTCTCAGATAAACCTTACCTAGACATATATTTCTTGATCTGGTATGTATAATTTGTTTTTTTTTTGAACTAATATGGTTCCCTCTGGTTTTCAAAACTAGCTAGGCATTACTTATCTCTCACATTGTCTCACCCCTCCATCATGGTTTCCACAATTAAGGAACCCCCATTTTTCCCCTTTCTCCCTTAATAATACCCTTCTCCTATGTTCCTACCTAGGATATAAAGGGAAAGAAGGTGCTCAAGAGAGGTAGGACCATAAACATTTTAGGGTTATGTGTATATTATTTTTGTCTCATCCTTTATATATCATATCAAACCTAAACAGACCTTTATCACTTGCTTAGGCTTTCTCATTTTTTGTCTATTTTAGAAAATATCTCCCTTCCCATATCCTTTTAACATC